TTAAAGGAAAAAAAAAAATTTTTGACACGTGTTTTTTGGATTTAAAATTTAAAATACAAGGAATGTCAATAAAAACATGGGAAATTTTTGATAAAAAACGTACTAAATTTAAAATAATAGGGGGAAACCCCGATAGAATTTTCCTTTTTAAATTTATTAAAAATTTTAAATTTAGAAAAAACACAGAATTTACTTTCCCTGTCGATGAATGAGAAAAGCTTGAGCGACAAACAAGGGGGACAAGGGCCCGCACCCCCAGATGTTTTTAAAACAATTTTAAATTTAAAGGGAAAACGTAGAATCATAAAAAGGAAAAATGGGTTTGTTTTATTTAAAAACTTAAGGCTGTATCCTGCAAATTGTTTTTGATAATTTTACCCTTAAATATGACAAAATTGTTAAAGTAAATATGTTTGTAAACAAAATGCATGTTATACAGCAATGGGTCATATTTCTTAACATAGACTTATGAGTTGAAGTGACATTATGCTCATTTTGTCATTGTGGAGCTGAATTGACTCTATATTTCAAAAGATTGACTGACAAATTGTTGATAAACCAACAGTTTATATTAGAAAATGGTATGGGTAAAAAAAAGATCTGCCTGAAATATGTATAGATCCCCTCCCTTTTTATAATTGAAGGTAGCAGGTTAATTACGATAGGTACACAGATGCCCTTTGAGTCACTGATCGTTAAAGCTTAGTCAATTATAAAACTGAAAGGAATTACATGTACGACAAATATTTCAGCTGTTCACTCGATATAAAACCTTGGACGACCATAACGTACCTATTTAAGATTTTTATACTATAATTGTACTTGGAAAAATGTCCCCTTTAGGTTAGTGCAAAAAAAACAATTTTTTGATATTGGGGATAATCGGGGCGTTTATCAAAACTTTATTTCCCAAAGTTAAAAAGAATATTTAAAAAACTACACAGGGTTTTTTTAAAATGAGGTTTTTTTTTTCTGGGGAAACACGCGACTAAAAAATTTCATCATCCTAAACTTGCAAAAAATTCCGTTTTTACTAAACCCAAAATCAAAAAGACTTTAAAAAAAACACAACAAGAAAGTTTAAATAACAGTGCAAAAAAATCCCAAACAACTTCCCTTAAAAATACTTTCCGGGGTCTGATATGCAAATAAAAAGTTTCCCGGAGGGTTGTTTTGAAGATTTCTGAAAAAAGAAAAAAAGAATTCCCCCTATTAAAAACACTTACGGGGAAAAATTTCCCAAAAATTTTAAAATTTTGAGTTGTTTGGGGAAATTTAAATTTTTTCAATTTTGGTGAAGAAAAAACCCTTCTTTTGGTTTAAAACTGTGCTAGGTGCATTTCCCCCCTTTCCCTTTCCTTTTAACAGATCAAAATTAAACACGGGGTTTTAAAATTTTAAATATGATTACAAGGGCCTAACAACCAATTGCAGGGGATAAGATTAATCGTAATTTTTAAACTTAAAAAGATATATTTTTAAATACAAAATTAACCTGCCTTTGCTTAACAAAAGCTAAAAATTTTAATAGTTAACCCAATATCCGGGGTTTTTACTAGGCATTTTTAGGATACAATTTAAAAACCTTTTAATGTCTTTTTGGTTTTGCAAAAAATATTCTTTTTCTCCCGGGAAACGTAACCCTGAAATTTTTTTTTGTTATATGTTTTAAGATTTTAAAATATTATCTAAATATAAACATATATTTTAGGATTTTGTAGTTATTATAAGGTCATTAAATATTAGGAAAATGTAAGATAACTAAATTATTGTATGTGTAAGAAATATATACAAAGCCCAAAGCATGGTCATGATGAAAATGTTTCATATTGTCTCTCACAAATTTTATCTGACTTACAATCCCATTCTCATGTTGTGCACCCTCGTCTGGGGTTTCATACGTGACACTATCCGTACTGCTATCGCTGTCAGAACTTTTGGTTCTGATGTTACTGTCTCTTTTTATTCTTTGTTCTTCAGTAGAGAATATATTTTGTTCTTTGTTTTCGTTAACCGTCATATTTTCATATGAATTACTTTCGTCATCTAAGTTTGACTCCAAGCTTTGTGTAGTATTTTCTGTTTCCGCAGTATCTGTCAATTTAGTTTGTTTTGAATAAGACGTAGACGCCTGATGAGAATTTACATCACCATTGCCCATGGGTAACACTGGTGTTTCTGATGCAATTTCCTCGTCGTGTTTGCTACAAATACAATTCGATGATTCTGCACCTTCATCGTTGATTCCTTGTGCAGGTAACGGCAAAACTAGGTCTTCTTTGCTAGATTCAGATAAAAGACCTGGCGGGTAATAATCATGAAAATGTGGCGAAGATATTTGTTTTTGTAACTGTCCTTCATTTTCAGGGGATTTGCCAACTTGTGATGATTTGAATGAGTTCTCTTTTGTTAGAACATGACCAGAATTTTTTTCGCCTTCTGATGTTCCTATGGAATGTGAATCTGTATCAAGTTTATTTTGTCGTACCGAAACAAAAGAGTCTGAGCAACCTGCAACACTCATGAATGCTGATGAATTGCTGTCTGCCATTGTATAGTCAAAAGCTGCAATATCATCAATAACTTTCGGACGGGTATTCTCATCTTGACCTAGAAAGAAGTTGAAAGAGGTAAAAGGTCCGTTTTTAACTGAAGTATTTGATCTCTTTGAGCTTAAATCGACAAGAGATAAAAATATTTATAAAGGTAATGTATTGCTTTAGTATAATTGACATGACAGAAGAGCCTTGATAATTTTTGAACTGTGATAATACAATTAAGAAATAACTAAAAAATTACACAACTAATTTAAATCTAAACATGTTCTTTACCTTTAAACAGTTTGACATATGAAAAACCCATAACAATTGCATTTTGGAGTTTTTATAAAACCATCTTTCATAGAAGATCATAATAGAAGGTTTGTAAAACAAAAATTATTTAGTTGATAATATCAGGTATCATATTTGATATCAAACCACAAACGAAATATACATTTGAATATGGATGTTGTTGGTAAGTTGGCGATACATGATCAGATATAACAAATCTTTACATTGCAAATAACAAAAAATTGTCCAAGAACAAAATACAAAATGTTTATTACATAAATGAAAATCAAAGTCACGTAAAAACATTTTCTTCACAGGAAATATCTTAAAAAATATATTAGTGGAAAATGCTCCCATTGTTGACCAATCGATTTTAATATTTTCACGATTAATTATCAATGTTTGGTATAATTAGTAGTGTGTCAAGACCTGTTTAATTTATTCCTTATATAACTAAGCATGAAACCTCGAAAATTACTTTAAAAGCAAAAGAAAACAGTCACAACAACGCAGATTAATCAGAAAAACGCAGATCCCTTTGATAAACTGTTTAAAAATAGCGCTATGAAACTATAAAAAAGTAAATGAACACCCAAAATTCGGTGAACAATATGCAAGTGATAATATATACAATATAACTGCAAGAAATCAGAGAAAATAAAGTTTGGTAGAAAGAACAAACGTCAACAAAGCAGCATTTGTAATACCTTGTTCAAAGGTTTTGTAGTCATCAGAACTAAAAGGACTTGTCAACTGGACAGATTGTTCTTGCACAATTGTCTTAGCAGGATTTGTTTTATGTTTGCTGTGTACTGTGGTTGCCAGTTGTGTTTCAAAGCGTCTGTTACCTGCTGAAATAATAAATAAAAGCTATCATTGAACATTATTCTTTAATAATGAACATTTGTGTGACATGAATAAAAGTCTCTGCTGTGCATCTTGGCATATGCAATTCTTTGAACTCGATGGACTAATTTAACACTTATTTAGGATAAAAAAGCATCTGTACATAACTGTTTCAATTTCTTAATTTGTATTTTCTGTTTTCTGAATGTAAAAATTACGAATTACTAATTCGGTGCTTATAAACTTTTTATATGCTAGTTGTTTCATTTTAAGCACTTCTTAAAAAGCGGACACACGAACTTCGGAAATTAAATCTTAATATATGAATCAAGAGACAAGCACGAGTATCTTACATTTAGTTTCTTGAACCGGAGAAGTGAGACTTTCTTTCACGCATGGTATATATCTACATTCATCAGTGACAGCTGTGTCTTCAACCTTTGAACTTCTTTTGTCAACTAAACTCAGACATAACATTTGAAATTTGAAACTGATACAAGCCTTATAATTCATAGAAGGTTTTGACAAAGAAAATATTTATACAAGTATTGTGTATGTACAAGTATGTTGCGTTTGTAGTTCTCAAGATACATTATTTATTTTATCGTATTCTAATAAGGACTTACTCACCTTGATACATAAAGCGTTTCTTCTATAAAATATAATCTGGAAACGGGCAATTGACAATTGTTTGCTAGACACTACTTTATTGAGAAAAATAAGGCAGAAACAAATATGAAATGAAGAATGTCTTCAAGCATGTAATATGCTTAATGAAAATCATTATAATTGTCTCCCATTCTTTTCTGCAAGTCTCTTTAACTTAAGTTTGTGTTTTATATATGAATTCTTAATTTTCGTTCCAAAGAAACGTATTCCATCTGCGTATTTCAAACAAGTTCCATTCGGTACTAGATCAAGCATATTTGTTCCAAAAGATGAAGATTAATGAATTTGATTTAAATTCTATCCAGCATTTCTGTCAGTGCCATACACAAACATTAATTGTACCAACAGAATGGAAATCATATATAATTTAATTGACCGATCATTTTCATCACATTCCTTCTGCGGTATGTAAATGTTGTTAAAGTCACGTTTTATGTAAGCTGTTTCTTTTGTGTCAAAGGACGAACATTTTATATATTCGCACCAGAAAGAAATATTAACAAAAATTACCTCTGTCGTCGCCAACTATCACTTGATTTCGATGTTGACTGTTCTCATTACGAGAATTTGCCGCATGTCTTCGCAAGACACCATCTTTACCTAGGGTTAAAAAGTTTACCGTTCCAAATTGACAAAAAAGGAAGAATATCTAGAACAATTGTTAAAATTTAACATTTTCTTTCGTGCTTACAATATATTAAGCAACACACCTTTACTAAAGTATATACTTCAAAAGCAAATAAAAATAATCTATATCCAATACCTATTACTTTATATACATATTTGAAGGGCCGCGATATAAGAATTGTCACATACACATGGTAAATTACAACAAGGTTAATATACGGAAGAGTAGTGCTGGGAGGTGATAATCCACCCGATGGGCATTATTCATTTCAGGCCGGCCCGTCTATGACGTGTATTAATGTCTTTAATACACTTGGCAGATCTTATACAAGGGGGTCATACCATACGCGCGCATCATCAAAATTCTGATAACGCGGTATTTTGAACAAAAAACGAGTTATGTAAAGCAATCAGAATAGATTTGAATCTAATTTGATCCTAAGTGTAATTCACTTTACACTCTTAGTTCATTTTCTTAAAAGTTGATATTTTTGTAATGCTTCGGCTCATCTGAAGGGACATGGCGCTTTTAATACTCATTAATGTACGCCATGACTAAAGACATGTACAAAAAAGGTAATAAATAAATAAACGTTCCTTGATATTTTACCATTGTTAACAAGTAATGGATTGTCCTTGTTTGAACAGAAAGATTCAGGAGTGTACCTACCATTCACTCTTTCTGGCGCTGCAAATACATGTTCAGCTGAAGAAAAAACAACAACATGAAATACTAAGTATACTTATCATATGTTGCGGTTCAGATGGGAATGTCCATCCTGAGGGTAACCTGGCTTGACGAGTTACCAACCATGGGATCGAAGGACAGATATACCTATCTAAACCACAAACACTTTTCTGATGTTTTTCACTGCATATTCTACCATATCTTGTCATATTTAAATGGTTTACCTTAAATAAATATTTTTTTTCACGGAAATCAATATCATTTCATCCGACACTAATTTCGTACAATAGCGCATGACTTTACAGCTTTTTTACAGCAACGAAATTATAAGTGCGATAAAACGTCATTGTATAGAACCCAACCGGCATCCCCTTGCCCGATGAAATTTCCAACACAGGTAAAACAGAAACACCACTCTGATATGCGAGTATATGATGTATACTCTAAGATTGGGACATTATTTCCACTAAAAGTTTAAATTTTGTAGTATTTGATGGAAACATAGATAGATATACGCAGAATTTTGTTAAAAATTGCCACTGAGTACATATTTGTTAAGATGGTTGTCTTATATACGAGAAATGTCCGCAAAATTCATATACTACTTTATATTTTACTGTAAAATAATACTTATGCATTACAAATTTTTTGCCAGCAAATAAATTCATATCTAGCAACACATTAACAAAAACCTACTGAGCTCTTATCAACTTTTACATTCTATTGTCGTTACATACAATATATTGTATAAATCAATACAGAGCGGTTCGACAACGCCTCTGAAGCGTCGTATACCGACTGATACGGTTTAATAGTAAAATTAGAAAGGGATAAATTCTATGTACTTTTGTTACAGTTTCTATTTCGTCAGTTTTATAAAATGTAACTGAAAACTATTTAACTTTGTAAAATATCTTACCATAAGAATACTGAGGGTCATCTGATTCCGTTGTAGATGCTCGCTTTGATTCCTTACAGTCATCTGAAAGACGGATCTGAATTTTGTACATTGCTCCTATGTATTTGATAATGAATGCAATGTTAATTATGGGAAACTATCAAAAATAGATATGATCTAATATTGCAATTTATTTTCTATTAACATTCTATAAACAACTACTCAAAACGTCAACTTTTTTATGATTGTCCATATTTTATTGAAAAATTGTACTTTAAAATCAAAAAATGAAAAATGAATCTTCACCTTTAATGTCATCATTAATTTCCCTTACTCTAGAATACATGTATCCACTATCTCTTTGGTTATCAAAACGTCTCGAATTCCCTAAAAAAGTAAAAGCAAATTGTTAAAATAAACATTAATTATAATGCATATTCAATTTATAGATATTTTAAGTATATAAAGCTTTATATCGTAATGTATTGTATGAAATTAACAATATTTTGTTTGAATTAACAATAATCACATTATTTTGACGGAGCATAAGTGCAAGTATGAAAAGATTCCGGGAAAAATTAAATGAATCTGATTCATTAGATAAATCCTTAATGTGTTTATTATAATTGCAATCCGCAACTTTCTGATCGTGACGGAGCCGCCGCTTCCGTAGCCACTGTCGCTGTGTAAAGATAAACAATTCATTTCCTCAATAAGACATCAAAAGCATTTTCCTACATAATGGTGTTAAAAAAGCTCTAAGGAAAAGTTTAAGAGAAAAATGTATCCCTGCATATACATTTACCTATAAATGTCAACTTTATTATGAAAATTTTTACAATAACTTCTCTAGCAAAAACAATAACTCTGCTTCAATATACAAAAATTCAAAAACCTTTTGTCATATCCGAACAAGTAGGATAAAGGTTCATTAAAATACGAAACTGAATATGAAATATTAAAATATATTAACTAGATCTTGCAATATAAAATATACTTACGCAGAACACGTCTGACTTTCTACATGTGCCTCTTTAAACATCTTCAACCATGTCTTTATTTAAAAAGAGAAAACATATATTGGCCAAAAAAAAAAAAAAAACTACTTGCACCACCAGGATTATTGCAAACATCTTTTTAATTTGTAGTGCCCTACATACTTTGAACTATTCGTATCATATGTTTAGAATAAACCATAGACAAAAGAATGTGTATTCTTTCATGGGTTTAAGTTACCTAGCTAGTTAACGAAAAGTCAATAGTTCTGAGGTGCCGCTCATGCTTGGAATAATACACGAAGAGACCAGGGATCTTCCTCCATCAGTTTTGCTAGAATGTCTCCGTATGACACTGACAGAGTTTGTGTGATTATAAACCTAACAAGTCAAATAAACAAACAAAACGCAAATGTCTGCAAATATCTTTCTCGTCTAATAGAGTTGACCAAAAATAATTTTAACAGACGCCGTATTTCATATCGCTCATAAAACAGTCATCGATCTAACATTTAGCGTTACTCTAAATGGTTTATACATCTTATATACTAGCATACAATCATCTGGAAATGGCGAATGGAGTGTACATTCCCATAGTATCTCTTTTTCCTAGCATACACACCAATTTCAAAACTGTCTATTTAAATGCCTCTTGAAATGGTAATAAGCTTACATTATCCTTCCAAGTAACGATATTCTGGTAGTTACAAAATAAAGTTGTCAAGAGAATAAGCGATATCAACAAAACATTTTGTTTATCTTAAAACACCGGATATATATATTATACAGAAATGCACAAAACAGATACCTTCCTGCACAACATACTGTACCTCTCTATTCTTCGCAGTATCACATTTAAGTATCAGGTCCGGGTTGGATTTAGCTCAATTTTCATTAATTATCATACATATATCGGTGTGAAAAGATGAATTAGACCTATTTCAGTTCATTCCGTTGGGTAAAAAAGGCAAGATTTTAGCATTTTATGATTCAAACGCCTTGCCCGGTATATACCGGAATACGGTATATAGTGTGGTGCTCCAATCCTTTTTTTATGTCTCACTCCTTCGGTTTCATGTGATTACTGAATATTATTTTTATCCCAACAATGCCCTTGTTGTATTCCAAGATGCTGAAAAACATTATAAGCCAATGGCCGAAATTAAACATGATATATAATAAATGTAAATATTTTGTTAAACATAAAGAATACCTGAATCCTAAAACTATATTAATAAGATACGACAAACAAGGGACATACTGAATATAAAAGTAAATATATGTTCAACGTGCCGAAAAGAAAAATAAATCACGGAAAGGAAGAGTCCTCGGAAACAATGGAAAATCAGACTTGGTTTGATTGAGATTGTCCATGGGAGAAAACATATATACAAAAAAAAGTAATAGCTTTGGGAAAACTTTTAAAATATTGTTCTTCTAAATCAAAATAGAGAAATTAGATATTTGGTGTGCAACAGTGTCTATCTAGTCTGCGTCTACACAATACTATATGAATCATAACACTGGTGTTGGGGTCAGATACATATAAAACAAATCTCAAAACAAACTTTCAATCACCGCAAGAATATAGATATTTTGGGTTTAGCATTGATAACTAAATATTCCTGTCAATTAAGCTTAGGTTCTGCCCAGATGCCCACAGCTCATGCCTGAAATAATTTATAAAACACTACAGCCGCCATATGGCCGTAATAGTGTCGGTGTGACTTAAAACCCAACCATAATAAACATTTGATTAAATTTTCTCAAGTCAATTTAGAACCAGCCCCGGGTTATATTGACTTTTGTTTTTAACTTACTTTGAGTCTCTATAATATTTCAAATGAGCAATTAAGCGTTAATTTTTTGCTAAAACCCTATTATGTATCATTATAAAATAATACTTTAGAGGCGCTTAACTTCAATTATCAGTGTCATCCATCAATTATCTCATCAATGCATACAATGTAGCATGTAAAATATTCATTTTATCGCCTTTGATAACTGTCCAAAAATATGCCTTACTTATCGTTTCAAACTTTATTATTGTTTCTGAATAAGTAAAATAGTAAAAATGTAATATTTATATAAATTAAGGCCATGTGATATAAAACTTTTTTTATTAGCCATTGACTATGATCTTTTACTTTTCTACTTCTCTCATCGATATTGACCACTCTTGCTTACTTGCAAAATCATTATCAAAGCAAAAAAAGTTCCATACGCAGCCTTATTTTCCTCCTTTTGAGATGATGAAATATTTCAAAATCCCTGTCAAACACAGTGAAGATTGATTTAAAATTATTTTGGCTATTACTCTTTCAGTGTTTATATATCGTTTTAAGATGTTCTTAAACTGCCAATGTGGCATTACAAACATATCAGTTACTCCGATTACATAATTAGACAAACGGTTACGCCATATAGTTTTATATGATAAGGAAAATTAGATATCCAAGCTAAAGATGAAATGAAAAGAAAGAAAATAAGTATAATTGTGGGTCATTTTCAGCAGTTGTAATGTTCACAGTAAACAATTTGGTAATCAAACCGAATATTATAGTGAATGTTTCTATATTCAATTTCTTTGACAACTAATTGAATTTTAAATTGCCTTTTACGGTAATATATGAGAGAAAATGCATATTGTTAAACTTACATTTGCTCATACCTAGCATTTTCCATTCTATTGATAAGAAACCGGTATGTTTGCATTCAAACTGATCTAACATCACTTCAACACCTGGCATAAAATATATAAGACCATGGATATTTACACACACAGAAATGTTAAAGTATATATTATTCTGATTTGTGTTACCGAAATGTATTGATTAAAATTAAATGATAAAGTTAACATTACTGTCACGATATAAGTAACGTTTAGGTAATCATACAATAACCGCTGCCGTTGTCGAGGGGTTAGAGTCGATGACATCTAATCCAGTTACCTCTCTGGCGTGGGTTCGAGCCCCGGGAGATGCTTTGGTAGTTTAGCGCAGAGGAAGGTAGTCTAGTACTGGTGTTACTCTCCAGAAACGATGGTTAGGAAACTTTACCCGACTGAAATACTGCTGGGAAAAGGCGTAAAATGAAACAAACAAACAAACAAAAAAAACTGGCTATTTCTCAGTTAACATTATTCCTAACGATGGCAGTCATAGCCAAAAAAAAAGTTACCAAATGATCATCATTTTAATGCAGTAAGACTCGATATTCATGCTAATTTTATCATGAAATTTTGACAATGTACCTAAAAGTAAAATAATGTCCAGATAAAGAGTAAAGTTATTTACAAATTACAAACGGCACTTTCTATTCGCGTATATTACCAATTAAAGAGCAATATAGGCATAAATAGCCATTGCTGCGTTAGTCTTGCAGTAGAAATATGGTGAGAAATATTTCAAAATAAGTCATAAATTATACACAACATGTAAACCATTACTTGAATTGTGCATATTTTATTTTTACTTTTCTAACTATCTTAGTACATTTTTCTCAACGTTGATTTTCTTGAAATTGGCGGACTCATCTGTTGGCATGAAGCTTTAATTCTTTAGTTAACCAGTTTCGCATTATTTAAAAAAAATATGAATACATATGGACGTAAAAATGTACAAAGTCCTTAAGTTTTGTATTACATTGTGATATATATGATTTTTACAGCGAATCAACGTAACAATAATTAAGATATGTATACTAAATCTAGTTTTTACTTATATACCCAGATACTCTTGTGTCCGTCATCACGATTTATTTATCTACTTCTTGCAGTGCACTACCTGAATAAAATTAAAAATTAAAATACATTTTACTAATACATCTCCATTAACTTACTTAAATTTTAAAAATATTTGGATCCAAAAATGGAGAATAGCTGATGTAAATATTTCGAATTATAAGTTTATGGAACATTAAAATGTTATAAACGTTTGACTCAGGTTTTGCTCTTAATAAACAGCCGTAGATCTAGATATGTATGTTAGTGTACCTATGGCTTGTGTTTATCTTTATATATCGTTTGTAAGGGTCGGTTGTATTTTTTTATTTTTGGTGTCAATTTCTTTACTAAAGAGATAATGTATAAATAAATAAATAAATAAATAAATAAATAAATAAATAAATAAATAAGTGAAACGTATAAAGTTTTTTTACTTAATATGATTTGAATATATTACCCATTGAAAAGCAATGTTATACACTTTTATATGTATTTTTATGTGTAATATCGTTATCACCAAATGTGGGCCCTTTCATAGAATTCTTTCATACATTTTATGACAAAGAAAACAAAAAACGTTATTTATTAGATGAACAATATTTCCTTGGGGACTAAAGTATTCTACTTAAAAAATGACACTACAAAACTCACGATATTTCAAACAAACATACTAGAATACATTTGTTTTGCAATATTTATATTATATTAAAACAAAAACATGTTGCGTAAACATAAGTTACATTGAGGAAGGAATTTTAAAGAAATTTTATGGTAATTTATTTCTATTTACCTTTTATTGCATGTGCATATTGTGAAAAATTGCCGTTTTCTTTGAAAAGCCTCCTGTTTCATGTTTAAACTGAAATGAAACAATGAAAAATACTTCAATACTGATGAAACTTGGCACAAATGTTGACTGGACCATAGCCTTTGTAACAGCATGCTCAATCTTAAATTTCCTGTTACCATGGCAACGGGGGACGTCTCAAAATTGCAAAACTCAATATTTTTGCATTGCTTTTTTCAATCAAAACTGATTTCAATGTGCTGCAACTTCTCAATGGATTAATACAGAGTAAAAGTGCATTGATATATTTCAAAGCATTTGAACGAAAAACCGTGCATTATTATAATACAACGCACGAAAAATTAATATCTATTTCCATTCTTATACGTCAAGAGAAAAAATTGTTGGACTATATTTTTGGTCATTAAATTTATTTTCGCCCAAGAGTTTCAAATAGAAACGTTCTTTAAAGGCTGTTCAAGTCGGTTGAAAAGAGTCTGCCGTTTGCAGAAACATTTTGAGAAAAATGAATTTTGAAAACGTTGGTAAATTTTTTGAGTGTTTCTGTTATTTCACTTTATATTTTTCAAGCGAAATACAGAGTATAAATAGTGAAATTAATGTAAAATTTAACTGGTTTGCGACATTGAAATAGCGTTCTTGTATTGACTGTTTTTGCAAGCGCTGTTTGGCGCTACATTATGACGTCTAGTAAACAACACTCTTAACGTCTGTACAGCGTATATGACTGAATTTATGATATTGGTGTTCGAATTTACTTTCTTAGTCAGACCACACTGAAGGTTCAATGATTACCGCCATATAAACATATGCGGATGTTTCAAAACTCCAAACTGTACCAGTTCATGTTTAATCTTGAATTCAGTTTAAGCCGGTGCTAGGGGGTGTGGACGGTAGTTTGAACTTGACAGTACCGTCCATGAACAGGCTCAATCAAACCGAGCCTTCAATATTTTCAATCTTGCCATGATGGGCCTTTTTTAGGGATTCTAACTTTCTCTATTTTTTCAGAACAAAGATTCAATTTTAATTTATCAGATTTTTTAATGAAAGTGGCGTTGTCAGTGTGTGAATATGAACGGCGAGCGCATTGTTGTGATTTTGGCCGTCTTTGTTTACATGAGAGAAATGTCCTATAGTGTTAGAATCGTTATTTTACAGTCTTGATTTTTGATATACTCAAATGACTCTTGGTTTTTGTCTACGGTCACGGTTATATATGAACCAAGGGAACTAACTCAACTGTGCTTAAATTGAAACATCGCACACTTTATCTATAGAAGTTTGTGTTATCTGAGATATTGTTATGTGCGTTAAATTACCAATAAAGCATGTTAGTTGACGTATAACATCTAAGGAATATCAAAAAGCCGCATCATGCGACAAAGTTTATTTTCATTAGACAAAGAGCAAAAACAATATGTTTTTTTTTTCATGTGTAAATTTCTCACAAATGGAAAAAAACATCATTGAAAAAAAATGAATGGTTAATGAGTAAAGGTATGAAATATTTGTAGAAATTTAAAATTATCAAAATAAATGTACTAAGATTCAAAAGATATGAAAATACAATGTTTCGAATGTATGTTAGGTGAGAATTGAAACGTAAAAAAAGTTAAAACCATGTTATCTCTAAATAATCAGCATAAGCCAATAAGGTTAGCTATATCTATCTATGACTTGTTTTTAAGTGTTTACGTGCTGTTTTTCCCTTCCCTTGTACGTTTTTCAATTAACAATTGCCTTGGGTCTATTTTAGTCTAATCAGGGCATATTATTTGGCCAGATCTTTCCCCAATCTGCTAAGTAGTAATTAATGGATCAACATTATCAATAGATGAAAATGGCTTGTTTCATTTAATCCTTTAAAGCAAAACATACCCTTTTCTCAAGTAATTGAAACAAACATCAACACCTTTGTCTAGTCTTTGATAATGTGAACAACTCTAGTGTTATGGAACACAAGCACCTTGGTGTCATCTTTTCTGCAAATGATAAATGGACTTCACATATAACATTAAATGTCAATAAAGCATGGCAGATGATTGTATTCTTAGAATTCTGAAATTTCTAATTTCTAGAGCAGGGTGGGATAAATTGTATGTAGCTTTCATTAGACATTTGCTTGAGTATGCTGACGTGATGTGGAATAACTGCAGTAATGAACTAAAACCGATATTAATTCAGGTCAGCATGAATCAGAAAGAATTGCCACAGGAGTTACTAAGTTTTGTAACATCAACAAAATCACATCAGTAGAGGTACTCTTGCAGAAAAGGGATGAAAACATCGTGTAGAACTCCTATATAAAATGAAAGGTGGTCTCGTTCCTGATTATCTCTCTGATCTGATATCATTACTTAATCAACTTTTTACTCTTCACAATGACACATATATCCCATAATTGCACTGTAACTCCCAATCATGTGCTACTTCTTTTCGTCAGCATATATTCTTTATTTGAACATATAACAAAATGCATCCACAGTAAGTGCTTTCAAACACAAATTCTACTATACAAATATGTTGGCTAAAAAGACAAAGCACCTGCAAGAAAAAACAAACAAACAAAAAACAACAAACAAACACAAACAAATAAGTAAACCATACACGTCTGAGACTTGGATGCAGCTCTATAGATTTTGACTGGCATAGGAGAAACCTAATCCTATCTCATTTGTGCACATGAAGTACTATTGAAACTGTCTCTCATTTTCTGCTTAAATGTCCTAGTTAGGTATCACACTCTTTAAAAACCTATCCTGTGCACCCATCCTTAGTAATCTTCTTTAAGGCATTGACTGCTTAAGTACGAGCTTATATCAGAATCTGTTCACACTTGTTCAAGGCTTCATTAAACTATCAAAGCGTTTCGATTCTTAATATCCGACTCAGCATTTCGTAGCAAACTGTGTGACACAACTGCTTATTATTATTATTATTATTATTATTATTATTATTATCTCCTACTCTTTTTTATTAAAAATGCAAAATGAATGAAAAATCTCAACAAAATAATGCTTTACGAAAGTTTGTTAATTTAGATTAATATTGAAATTTAAAACATGCACTGATCATTTAAAGTGAAATAATAAAGAAGAAATTCCATTACGGAAAGAAGTTAAAGTGTCATGCTTTTGTTTTCCAATCTGTTAATATTGTGATGTAAAATGATACATGCTTGTAAATTTGCTTAATAAAATATGTTTAACCTAATAGTGGAAGTGGACAAAATTTGTTGAAAGAAATAATCGCGTTACCGTATATTCTATTAAACTAAACCGTTTTCTCGGCGGCACTACTCTACAGGCTCTGAAAGCATGTTACCGCAAATCAGTAAAATGGACTGCAAAAAGTTAGATGACATATTTTTATGTTAATGTGACCCTGATGGTTTTTCCCTTTTATAATAAAGAATAAAACTGAGTGTTACTGGTTCGTATATTAAATTTGTAGTGGAGTTCGTAGATTTGATTTGTAGTGGACACTATATATAATTCCAACTCGTCAAGATACACATTACACCTTTACATCATACTAGTCAAACATCATACAACATACATCAAAAATATAAATTTTCAACATTCCATACTATCATGAAATATATAGTTTTATACATACAATTCCTTAATTATCGTCAATCTATTCTATCAACAGATCAGTTTATTTGGATAGTCCATTCATTATATCTTATCAAAATAAATCATATACACATAAAATACATATTTAAATCTATTTCATCATAGTGTACCTGCATCTTGTGACCACTTAATCATTTACTTATAAAACAATTTACAATATATGCTCAACTTAAAAATATACATGTAGCTCCCAAAAATATATAAACAATGACATATAAATATTATTTAACATATAACCAATTTTGAACCAGACTCTGTATCTTTACCCCTGTCACTCACATTGTGAAATTAGCTCTGTACTGCAATTACTGTATATCACGAACATAGGTGCATAACAAATAGAAACAGTGATTTCTAGAAATAACTATAAGATAATAACATGTGCTGCCATCTTGAATTCTAACACTAAAGAATATTACTAATTTATCTAAATTACTCTTAATAAATCCACAATGGTATTGAGATTACAATAAGTCTTCATTTAGTTGAAATTAGAACTAATGAATAAAATATATACAAATACCAATTCCTCAATCAAGTCATTATTAATCATAATATTATTTTACGTAAAACACATAGGTCTGCATGTCACAATGACTAAAAACCTCTATTACACAACGAATGACGTCAAGTGAACCTACATTTGGAGACAAACGTTATGAATGAGCAGATAGCAATTTGGTCAAGGGGACATAATCACACAAATTAAGATTAAAATCAAACAATGTCGACAGAGTTGTCTTTCTTGGAAAATAACCTTAAAATCAACCTTAAAAATGGCACTTGGTTACATTAAAAAGTTGCATTCTGCTACTAAAGTCGGTGCTTTGTGGCGTACGTAGACGGAAGCTTGCAAATACCACTGTCATTCATATACACACTCAATCAAACCAAGCCTGCAACCTTTCATTTTCCAGTTTATGGGGGTTCTTTATTTTGCTATATGACTGATGTTCCAACCTGGATAACTACATGAAATTACAAATATCCCAAGGTACTCTCTGGAGACGTTTACATGCAGGCATATGAAAGTTCTCAAAACAAATATCTCTTGTACTTAATTTCCAATTAATAAAATGATCATTTGTACTATCAATTAATTAAAAATATTACCCAAGTTTGTATCGTCCATTAGTATGAAATGACCACAGACTACTCCAGCATTCAACCTAACCTGGTTGTCTAAGATGTCGTCTATGTATTGTGACCTGTCAATGTGCCTAAGATTAGATAAGCACAACCAGGTAGGTTCGTCCATCCCAGGTAATGCCTCCCACACCATAACTGACCTACCTCCGTATCGGTCATGCAATATTTACAGCCTGACACCGCTCCCCTCGTCTTCTTCAGACTATACCACGCCTTTTTGTGAAGTCTAGGCAGAACAAGGACTCATCGGTGAACAGAACGTTTCTCCAGTGTTGCATGGTCCGCCGTGTATGCTCCATGGTCTATTCGAAATGAGCCTG